GTGTGGGGAGCTAGATGAGAACAGGTGGAAATTGCTTGTAATGAACAAGTGCACCTGGCCAGGTAATGTAACTCTATTATCCGGTCGGAATCACATAGTCAAGCCTCACTACATTTTTATGCATTCTTTCAATATTCGCTATAATTGGAGACATTTGTGTTTCTCAACACCTAATTTTGGATCGCTTCTTTTGAACTAAGCATTGTATGCTTCTATTTATCTTCCATGTCATGTATTAACTGGGACTTTTTAATGAGGGTAGGTGATGCGAGAAAAACAGGAGAGGGCTCCATAAATTTGAACCCATATAACGACAAAATACAGTGCGTCGCCAAATGATACAGTCACCTCTGATTTTCCCAAAAACTCACAGTATACGATGTTTCTGAAAAACGCTAAGGTAAAAATGGTCAAATTTGATTTGCAATTCGCACATTATCACCAAACTCCAGCTCGAAAACACAAGCATTTTTTTGGTCAAATTTTCAATAAAGGGTGCTTTTCCAACGCCGTCAAATGATACAGCCACTAACAAAATTAATTTATTTAACAACAAGCAAACAACAAGGAGAGAAAGTTGCAGAGTCAGTAATCAGCTGACCCACCATTCTTTCGAATTACTTGATAATACGGTGGTCTAGGCTCGCATAAAAAATTATCGGTCAGCTCCTGGGGAACTTGGTGCCATGCTTCGATTATCGCTTTTTTCAACTCTTTGACGCCTCTGAGTTGCTTGTTTTGGGCGTAAATCTTCTGCACCATGAAGCCCCATACATTTTCCATCGAATTCAGCCCGGAACCGTTCGCCGGTTAGGGCAGAAGTGCCGAGAGAACCAAGCTTGGGTGCTTCTGCTGACGTAAATTGGAGCGTTATCTTGCATAAAAACAAGCTTTCGGTGCAGATTCTGACGCCAAGAAGGGGGAAGTGCACGGCGCATAACAGTTCGACAAAAGGATGAGCTCATCTCCTTCGATACAAATCATAAACGGGTAAGCCAACTCGATGAAATTGCGGCTCAAACCGTTACTCTCATCCCTTGGAGTTTCGTCCAGAAAACTGAAGTTCCTTTTCCCTCAGATCGTGCCAGTGAAATCGGTCCCCGTCTGGATCATCACTACTGAACTTCTTTTCATCGGAAAAACCGACTTGAAGAACAAAAATTATCAGGAGAAGGAAGGTCAAATGTCAGCACATGAAGAACACCTTACTCCACTCGGTTCGGCTGCACCGTCTGGCGAAAGCGACCCAATTTCCTCGATGTCTTTTTGTCATGAACGACGCATTTTCCGCTAGAAAATGAACTTGGACTTTCTGATCACCTTCCAAACAGTGCTTTTTGAGACAGAAACGAGCGGATTTCCATACAGGACTAAGTGGAGTTCGATGCTTCCTTCAAAGTACGGCACTTGTCTCTGTCAGAAATCAGCGAAGGAGGGCACTTCTTCCGGTTTTTCATAGGCTTCAGGGCTTTGAAATTATCCAAAACTGCGTGACATCGACCCAAATCTCGCGCAATTCTGCGATTTGACAGTCCCTGCTCCTGGATTTGACCTTATTCGATTTCCGAAAGCAAATTTCTCTTCCCAGTGCCTGAAAATGAAGAACATTACATAATCGAAGCGATTTCGTTGCGTTGAACTAAAAAACGAACCCTTCACTGAAAAATTGACCAAAAAAAAGTTTGTGTTTTTGAGCTGGAATTTGGTGATAATGTGCGAATTGCAATTCAGATTTGACACATTTTTTACTTTGGCACTTGTTCAGAAACATCGAATACTGTGAGTTTTTGGTGAAATTAGGGGTGGCTGTATCATTTGGCGACGCACTGTATTGGGCTGTTCGGAAGCTCCCGCCGATTTTGGCTGCACTGAGTTAAGACCTATAGTGTCCTATAAAGGACCTTCAGTGCAACCTCGACAATTATAAATTTTGTACCACTCTTCATTTCATTCTAAAAGGCACAGCTCACGACAAGAATGTTTTCTGGGAAATCCCCCTTTGGTCTTCGGTGGGCAGAAGTTGGCAGTCTTTGGTGGGCGGAGGTGGTGTAGTGACAAGTGGCGCACTTCACTCACGCACGGTCACGGGTTCAAACTCCAGATCGATATCTGTCTAGACCAACCAAGCCTTCCATCCCTCCGGGTTCCGTTTTTGGTACCAGACTCGTCTGGGAGGATAAAAGCGCTGACTTGTACATCAGCTGGCCACCGCAAGTCATTGTATAGGCCTCATACGGATTCAATACGCCACTACGATTCTGCATGGAAGTTAAGTACGTGGGCGCAACCCTTGGACGGGATTGATCGAAGCCTCAAAACTTTATCTTTCAGACTTAATCTCTTTGGTGATAGATCGTTATAAGTGCTCACAGATTGTATCGGTTGAATGCCACCATCCATAGTGGACAAGTTTCAACGGCGTTGTGGAGACTGCAGTGTATCAAGGCAGTCCCATGTTGGGAGTTCAAACAACTTGTCATGACTCATAGCTACAGTGGATGATGTAGTCAGCTCTTTGCGCAATTACAGTAAATGAAATCTCGTCCGAATAGCCCTTCCAAGCCATTTCCAATTTCCGTCGTGGTAATTTCGTACCACCGCTTAACAATTACTTTTAGTAGACCTTAATTTTCGAGATGGGCGGCGGAGGTAGACAGATTTTGTCGCTTTCTTCGTCATCGATGCACTACTCTACATCAACATCCCGTTTTTGACATGAAAAGAGCACCTCAGGACTATCGTGAACTGTGCTTTTGAGTTCGTCAAGATTCTCTGTATTATTTTTGTGTAGAGCCAATTGGGGAAGGATATGATCACTGAGGGCATTTTCGACGCCTACTGCTTTTCTTCTACCACAAAAACAAGAGTGTAGGTTTATCAACGAAAAAGCACGTGATGTCTATGGAGACAATGTTCTATCAGAGCATACAGTGCGAGAAAGGCTTTTAAAATTTGGACTGACGAAATCATCTTTGAAGATTGGTATGGGTAAGGGACCCCATCTTCAGTTGATAACTACCAAAACGGAGTGCCAAGCAGAACGAATGATTGGAGTAATGATGTTGAATAAGAAATGAACCGTGTACGACAGCGTAGAAATTTGGAGGCGCAATATAGCAGGGGGAGAACCAGTCAGTCCTGGAGGTGTGGTCTTCTACTACAACCACGTATAATCTATACCTATCTTGAACCAATCACAAAAAGTACTGGAGCTCAGATGGGAATTCTTGTCGTATTCAACTAGACCGGATAACACTTCGTCAGACCATCATTTACTCGGCTCTGTGCGGGATGGAGTCCGCGGAAAATTGTTTGTTTCTTCGGAGAACTGCGGAGCATCCGCGAAACCCATCGAAGCCTCTCTAACTACGAGACCAATATGACTCCACTTCGTCGTTCTGACGGAAAAAGTACCTCACTTGGTAGAGCAATGGAAAGGGCCGTCCAGTGGATCTCTAAAACAGCCACCTCTACCTACCCACCTGCCATCTTGAGCGGAATGAATATGTCGTTAATTCAACTGTCCCTTCGAAATTCGGTAAGCACCACGTCGATGAAAAATTGTTCGGCGTCTGGTCGCGATAGTGTTGAACAAGAATATTCAAAGAACCTTAGACCAGTTATCATTGAAACTGTGGCTTGGCGGTACATAACGGAATGCGATGTGCCCACGTCCTGAAAACTCTCAAGACCGTGTTGCCGAATAAAAAGGGAGACCTAGACAATGTTGCCAAACCCCAATTTGTTTGCTCTCTGTAATCGACGAACTCTTACGGTTCCGCCATATGTATGGGTTGGCAAATAAGTCCTGCGACAAAATGGAGACCTTTTTTGAAGCATTTCTAAATTTTTTCATATCAATCAATTTTCGGAAAAATATTTACCGTAGAAGTCAACAACCTTCTTTTATCCTTTGAGCCAATCACTGATGCCATCTCTTCAGGAGTGAGGAAGCTGTGACTCAATGAAGTTATTGACTGCTGTTTTTTCACATTAAGCTACAAATTCTTTTCCACAAAGGGATGCTCAAAAAGGCGGAGCACATGGTAGTTGAAAGATGGAACACTCCGGAAGTACGACTGAGCAACCTGGAACCAAGCGGGATCGGTGAACTTTTGACGTGAGCCTAAAGCGAATTTTCGACGTGCGTTGTCCCTCTGTAAGGACCTGATTTGCGGTTTGATCGTACTTCTCTAACCCCGTTGGCCAAATAAAGGGGATCAGAGGGGTGAGCGATAGCTCCGTCCATCTAGTCTGCGTTTAGCAACTCACAGTGGATGAGTTCCTTCAACCTCCATTAAAATAAGGGATGATGCGTGCGTTACTCCGAAGGCTCGTATCTAATGCAGTGAAGCGATCCAACCGATTGTTGACCGTCGATTGGTGAGCAGTGTTAGCATCGAATAGAATGCTGATATTTCGAGTCGCTACACCCGCGTTTTTTCCTTGGCGTGCTTAGGAGAAGGTGATTTTACAAATCGGGTGTTGTCCAATTATTGACCGCAGTGCTGCTAAAGCCCACACTCGTGCCCTTATTTACTCATGTTTTGATTGCCTGAGGGATGTCCTACAGGTCCATCACCCGTGCTTCCGTGTTCACACTGTTGATACAAATTTCCAACGCTACGAATTTTTTGTCGCAGGATTTATTTGCCAACCTAACGCATCCGACGGATTTGTTTTTGATTAGGATTTGTTGATAGGGTTGTGGCTGGCTTCACTCAGCTAATGTAATTCTAGTGTTTATCAGAGCGTTGACGAGAGAAATCAAATGACTCTCTATCGAACTATTGAACTGAGCTTGTAATCTTTTAGAGAGCTTCAGAAATCCTCATTTAACATAATATGCCTATGTTCGTGACTTCAGAATCTTATGGGTGAATGTTCAAAGCTAATGGTCATAGAAATTACAGATTTGTTGACCCGATCGACGAAATCTGTGCTTTTGAGGACTGCTGAATGGACTGACGTTCAGTGTGCATTACAGGGAAGGAGAAAACATGGAAATGAGCAATCCCGAGGACACCCCGAAAACACCGGCCGAGAACCTCAAAGGCACTTCAGCGACAGATGCCACTGAACTGGAAGACCCATTCGATGATCCAGCGCTGGTCACTAACGTGAGTTTTCTAATTGTAAGACAATATTTTGATGCACTAGCCTACTTTGGCGGTGCTGCTTGCGTGATCATACAATACATCTTACTATCAACATGGGTATTTTTCGGAGTCGTGGTGTGTTTGTTTGCTTGTTTGTTTGTGTTTGTCTCGATGTGTGTACTTGGTTGGAAAGTCATAACTAGTATTTCCCTGGACCTAGAACATTCGGATTTGAAAGGAGCAAAGTTTGAATGGTTCCTTGTCAATATGCACTACGCATCAAGGTTTGGAAATCAAAAAGGGATCACGTTTCCCTTGATTCTTGTATGAAAAACTTATTCGAACACCAGCAATATGTGAGTTTCAACCAATGCTTTATATCTGCGTATAGAGATAGGAAACGCCACAGGAAACGCCATGAATGTTCACTTTTGACGGTGGCGTTATTATCAGTTGACAATAATATTACGTACAATTCGAGGCTTTGGCTGTCTATACATGTTGCTCAGTGATTGATAAGTCTTTGCCCATTACACACTGAGGCTGTTATTTGGAGGGCATGCATGCGATTGCAGGAGGTGGCAAATTCCAAACTTGCTGTGCTTCAAAGCTGTAGCGCTCGAGCTCGCATTCGAGTTCGCAAGGGCATCTCTAACAGACTATATGTAAGGGTGTATAAGTACAGTAAAGTGTGCAGGGAGACCCACATGAAGTGTGACGGGCAATGAAAATCGACTTATGGGGTTCTGAGTGGAGGATGCGGTGATCCCTTGGGCAGAGACGAACGCAAAGAACGTCAGCTGATGCTTTTAGTGGGAGTGGACACCAGGCCATAGCACAAAAAAGTTTTATCAATGATGTGAGATCATGTTTTTTGGGTTTTTGGACGAAGGAGGTTTGGCCTACAAACTCCCTGATCTCAATCCTCTGGATTTTGCTGTATGGTCGGTTCTGGAGCAAAAAGGCTGCGCTTTCAAACGCAGGTCTTTCGACTCTCTGAAAAAAGCTCTGTTGTGAAAGCGTGGGATGAAATTTCGCTAGAAGTGATTGCGCACATTCTTGAAAACTTCCGAAAGAGGCTCACTTGCTTGCATTAAGGCGAAATGTGGTGATTCTGAATGTGATATGTTGTTTACAATTTTAGAGATGCTTGTATAGAAGTGTTTCCTATTTGGTTTGGTTTGTATAAGTTTATTCTTGGTTTTCTGCGTCACACTTCATGTGGGTCACCCTGTAGTGTAAAAGGTTTGCTGCGGCTGACAGGATCGTAGAATTGAATTTCTCATGAATTGAATGCATTCACTTCTGAAATGATTTTTCTCTATTAGAAATGAGTCTAAAAGAATGGACAACTACGTTTCCAGGCCTTCCTCGACATAATGTGGCAAGATGCTGACGGAAATTCTGCATTGATGCTGGCAGCGGCAGAAAATCGCATGCTTCATGTCAAGGGAATCCTGACAATGGCAGCTCAGCGTGGAACACTTTGGCAAGTGAGTGAAAAATGTTGTTCGTGGATGATGCCGCCTTGCCTTGCAAGCGCATGGTACTGTTTCTAATCAACCTTCTTTTCAAAATTGAGTAAACCTTGTACATGTATGTTGGTACGTTTTTTCTTCATAACATAGCGACTGAGTAGAGCCTTTCCGAATGTGACAAATGAGAACATGAAGGGTTACATGTGGGCATCGTTCAAGGACGGAAAGGTGTCAGACCCTCTCACATGTAAACCACAATCCAAGAGCCCTGTGAGCCAGGTCGCAGCAGTTGGTGGAGCTAAGCTTAACGTGGTAGCTGCTGCCGTCCGACTCATTTGTTTATCGTAAAGGCACACTTCACGAAAAAATGGTTCCTAAAACTCACCCTCAGGATGAATTTAAGATCGCCGCGCTGACCATATCTGGCACTTCACGCCGGAAAACGGCCTAGTGCGGGAGTTATAAGGGCTCATAGATTGTACCGTGTGTATCATCGTAGGAGTTTCTCCGGCATTGTAAACGCTGCACCGATCACAAGGGAACCCATGTAGGAAGTTCAAACAACTTGTCATGACCCATAGCGACAGCTAAAGGCAGTTCCGTGCAGTTCTTGCTTGATGAAGTCAGCTGTTTGCGCGATGGCAACAGCTGAAACCTCATCCTTATACCCATTCCATGTTATTTCCGTCATGGTAATCTCGTCCAACCTCTATTTTCCCTACTTTTAAGGATTTACATTCTTTCGAAATGGGCAAATGCTCTCGCTTCCCTTACTCCGATGAACTGTTCCCAATCTATACTTCCGCTTTTCGAATAAAAACGGGTACCTCGAAATTATCGTGAACTATGCCTTTGATGGTAGATAAGTGGAGTATAGACAGTGCTGACAATGAGATTCCAGATCCAACGAGTCGTGCACGGACAGCTTTCCCCGGCGGTAACCTAACCCCTTTCCAATCGGCCAGATGATGAAGCTTGAAGTATTTTGGCATTAATCAATCCCAATCTGGGACGCAGACTTTCCAGATTCGTAGAGTATTTTTGAATGCTGCGGCGGCCACCTTATATACATACAAGTCAGTTCAATTCTTCTTCCCAATGCCAATCGACGGTAATGGCGCGATGGAAGGTCTGGTTGACCCAGCCTGATCCTGATTTTAAACGTGGTCCTGGTAAGATGCGTTTGTTAGAGTGCTCCACTTATCACTACACCTATTTGACCATTTCGTACAGAATTCAAGGAGGAGTCGAAGTCATGGTTCAAATCATCGACCTTCGTTTTTACTGTTCATCTGTCTGTTATAAACTAATACTTTATTGCTAATCACTGCTTTCCATCTTTCCATCTGTCCAAAGACAATGAAAAACCAAGAAAGTGAAAAAAGGAGAAGAAAGTGTGGCGAAAGGGGGAAAGAAACCAATTCCTTGCATCTTCATCTTGAGAGATACAAACTTCAAATCAAGCATTTTCCTTCCCGCAAGAAGGCATTTTCTCGAAAAAAAGGGGGAATTTCTAACAACTGTTACAAACCTATTAAGAGAAATTCTTGTATTAAACAAATATGGAGTTTAGGTGTTAGACATGCGTAACGACAATGGTCTCAGCGCTTTGGAAATGGCATTACGATCCGGTAGCGATACATGTGCTATGCTCATCACCAGATTTGCCAAGGAATATCAGAAAACGAGAGTTCGTTCAGTTTTTTATTTTTCTATAGTAAATGTCAAGTTGTTCTGGACGGCTGCTACGAGAAAATAGCAGAATGACCTGAAATGCCATCAGATGTAATCATGAAATCTAACCAACATTGCTCGAAAAGGACTATGCTATATTTTGTCGGGGATTAACATAATCGAAGGCAACGTAATCTTAAGGTACGGTGCAGGATGGTATAAGAGTGCAAAGGAGAAAGGGTGAAAACCGGCGGATTTCTAGAAAGAAGGAATTTCAAAACAGCAGTTAAAAAGGGGCTGTACGGGGTGCGCTTCGTTGCGCGTGTCCGATGAAACTAGGTCACGCCGCAGCCGTTGCAGGTGGCAGTTCAGCCCGCAATACTTGACGGTTGTCGCAGTTGTCTGTGGGGCATATGATTTGCGCTTGGTCCACGGCAGTCAGCTCATACAGAAGATAACACGGACAAATGCAATGAGAATACAATATACAAAATGAAAAAAAACTTGTACTTTACATAGTGCTTACTACTAAAACGCCTGCATAATTCCTTGAATAAATTTGGTAATGTCATTGAGATTATCCTTAATAGATAGAATACTTGTGACAAATAAGTTTATTTCTATGTAACTAACTATATTGGTGACTTATAAGGTCGCCTCCACCCATATTCAAGAGACTGCCCATTACATCCATTATCCTTGTGTCAATGGACTCAATCCTAGATCACGTGTTGGCAATTCATAATGTTTCTATATTCATAAAAAGGGGCTTCATTCGTATCAAAAATATGCCTATTATCATGCGGCAATCTGATGACGTCGAAGTAAAATCGCCGATTATTACTACATACTAGTTTAACACTTATTTCCCCACTAGTTATATTGATATTCAATTATAAATAGTTGCCATTTTTCTCATCCAAGTGTGCCCTTTTTTATCCTAAGTGTGTGACTATATACCAATAGAAGCTGTTCTTACACTTCTGATTCCGCCTGGTTAAAAGCTATCGGTAAATCGTTATATATCTATTATAAGGTAATCTAAAAATGTAGAAGTCAACTAAGCCGAAAACGCAATTACCTACTTTTGGCCATGAGTCACGACTAGTTGTTTGAAATTTCAACAAATGTGCGCCTTTGTGGATGGGACGTAGTCTTCTTGGAGGTTTCCGGAACGTGGCCACCGTTAAGTGGGACATACAGCTCGTGCAATCTCTTAGCCCTTACTACATAGAATATAGAAGATTTACAATTTCATGCCGTCACATACGGTATAGGGCCCGGAAGGGCCAAGTTTTATTCTAGAAGGGTATCCTAAGAGTCATTTTTTGGGAACCGGGCCTTAGAGTGGTGAATGATATTACAACAAACATTATGATCAGACAGTCGAAAGCGATCCCCTGAGAAGCGTATTTCCCTTGGCTTACTCTTTCGATTTGGCCTTGCCACAAGAAGCACGAAGCAAATTAGTTAAAGAACATGATTTTGTTCGAGCACGATTTGCCCTTCTTAAACCTAGAATTCTTCCAGAAGCAGGCTGTAATGAGTAATGTAAATATAACATCGGAAGTAAAAGTGTAATATGGTACTCAAGGAAGCTCAAGTGAAAACCATCGGTGCCAAACATCTATCGGGCAGCGTTAAGAGTCTACTGCGTGGGAATGGAGGTGACTCAATCTGTGTGATCAGTCTGAAGGAGCATAAGACAAGGGCAATCGTTAAGTTGGTTCGAGATTTCAAAACCCAAAAAACTGGAGAATCTGACCTAAAAACTGCAGAACAATTGTGTTGAGGTGGGGGGCGAGATAAGCAAACCAGCCCGTTTAGAGCTTCTGCTGGATGCATTTCCCTATTCTGCGATTCTGTTTGAAGGTCTCATAATTCCACTCAGGGAATGTACGTGGGGAGTCGCTTTTAAATCCCAGGTGGGAGACACTTCCTTGTTAATATGTGGAAGACATTGGGCGAATATATGAATTAACTGTTAAAGCACACCATACTGTCGCAGTTGCACGGCAGCCCTATGTACCCGTGTAAAGAACTTCCACCTGGGATTTAAAAGCGACTCCCCACGTATTTTCCCTGAGTGGGATGATGAGGCCCTTAAACAGAATCGAACAATAAGGAAATGCATCCAGCAGAAGGACCAAATGGGCTGCTTTGCTTACCTCGGTGGGGGACGAGTGTTGGGAGGGCATTTGCGTAGCTTACCATTTCTTCCCTTTCGCTTTCCCTTCTTTGTTGAGTGATTTGAGCGTCAGAACCTTGTCATTGGACAGGATAATTTTTGGATTGTTCACAAGAATGACTAATCTCACTTAAGCTGAACGATAATCAACAAAAGGCAGTAGCGAGAAATGAGCTGAGCTAAATTCAACGGGGCACTTTCACAATGCATATCACCTTGTATAAGCTGTAATCAGTGAACTTTCGCGCTAGTTAATGAAAATCGACGGCCAGCTGACGTCAATGATTTTTCCCATCTAGTTGAATAGGTGCTTTTTGGGAACGTAATCTGTTCAAGCGGACAGACTGGCTATCCTGATGGGATTTCGTTTCTTTTTGAGACCATTGACTCTTGTTTTTCCTTAATCTTGACTTCTCCACTTCATAAGTTTTCTCTGCGATCTCCCTCTTTTCTGTTTCTTTTGGGTCAGAGAAATGCTCTCAACTTTCATTTACTATTCTCTCAGCATAACAATAAGCAGGCTACATATTCAGCCAATGATTTTTTTACCCAAAAGGTTCTTCTCCCATTCGCGCCTTCTCACTCATCGAGGTGACCTGGATATCCCGAGACCAGCAAAAAAGCCGTGTTTCGAGATCTTCTGCAGGCTCTTGAAGGTCTCCTCTCTTTCTATTTACAATGTCTCTGCATTCTAGACGATGATCAACTACTATTATCAATCTAGTGTATCCGTAACTTCTCAATTTCCTTTAGTTTTGTCGTTTTGAACTTTTTTAAAATATGAATTCGTACCAGTCTATTTCTTAACCTTTCTCACTCTATTTTACTTTGGTTGTGGTATTAGAGGCTTTACACTTCATTGTACCTCTTTTTATCCCATTTTAAAAGTAGGATAAAGCTCCCGCATTCGTTTCCCAATGTCCCATTGTACTTTTGTTATATATTCTTGCTGTTATTATAATACTTTTATATCCGCAAGTGTGAAGACTCAAACTGAAGAAAAAGAAAATAGAAAATCCATTACATAATTGAATTGTTCATGGGCGGAGCTTTCCAGCAGTCCTATTTTAATTTGATTGGAGCACTTCGGCATAAGTTATGGCAAAGCGCCTGTTTGCGAAGAATAACCCGTCGTAAACCGTTGGTTGACCAAGAATCAATAGCAGTACTCTGAGTATAACGTTTTTCAGGCAATACTTACTTCTAAGAGCATATTTCTATATTAGGTTGACAACTGAGTCATGTCGTACTTCTCTGTGTACTTTAAATTTTTGTCTTAAAGGGTAACTACCTTTTCTTCCAAAGAGATTAACATTTACAGACCATGCACCCGAGTATGTCATAGGCGATATAGGACTGAGTGAATAGCATTCTCTGTGCGAGAAGAGCCCTTATATTTTCCTGAAAGACCTTCATTGAAGACCGTACGTGGAGATTTTCCTGAAATATACGTGAATATACGTGAATTGCCAGTACTCGGTTGTCATTCTATAGTTCTATCACCTAGGCTGTCAGGGCTGGCATGGTGGCGGACAGTGAAGCACATCGCGTCGCCCTCCAACTATCCTACATAACTATCCTGAGACAATCCTTTTATCCGTTCGATGTCCTCTAGAAGGCATCGGATGGATGGGAGGCGATTGGGCTGTTTCTTATTCGTAGCAATAGCTTGCCTTACTGAGTGGACTGCTTTTGCAGCAAAAATGACTTCAAACTTTGAATAATACCAGTAACCTTATCTATTTTTTACCACTGGTCATTCAGTCGAAAAAGTTCAGCTGAATTTACTTCTGAGGACCACAGGTGAGGTACAGATGTGTCCGAACTTTCAAATAGCCACTGGAATTTGTATATGCAGAGCATTCAGAGGTGACTTCAAACTTCAACTCTTCCAATAATTCGAATCAGGGAATGTTTTCCTCGCACCACAATTGAAAACTTCGAAATGAGGGCTGATTTTTTTGCGACCCACCAATGAGTATAGGTAGCTCCTACTTTTGACGTACCATATCCTGCACACCTTAGGAACATTCCATATTCTGAAGTCCGTTCATCAACTGTTTCTCCCACATCTCTTCATATAGCTTAGTGTTATCGTCCTCTACCAAGTTGAGGTATAGCTGAAGTGATAAATCTGGAAGTTTTCTCGGTGACTCCGGGGCTACCCATACCCAGAGATTAGTATGTGGTCACCTTTCATCCTCACTCTATTGCTCAACATTATCATGCGAAGAGTCTGAGGATAATGAGGAACCAATGTTCCAATCCCAGTTCTTATGTCCACTTACTATTTCTCCTCTATTCTAATTTCTAGCAACCTGACGGAACTTCATAACCTACAGTAATACCTTTCAAGCAAATTTCCAGTTAGGCAAAGGGGTAGTATGAAAATGGAATGTGGCTGGTGGCATTTGATGGGACTTCCTGACATTTTGCGAAACGAATACTTTTTCATCTGATCCAGATTTGGTTGGTAATCATATTCAGCCATATTCTATTAAGCTAATAAGGTTTGAGTAAATGGGAACTCTTAGAGAGCTTTCGATTCTTTGCTCAGCCCGTAGAGATAGGATATCAGAAAGAAAGCGAACAATTACCTCATTCATCAGCGACAATCGATTTAGCGACTCAGAGCATTTTCTCTCACTCCCTCATTAGGGCTGTCAGCTGTTTCTATGACCATTTACAGCACCTTTCATAACATTACCTAACAGTTATTTATACTCTAACACACTACATAGAAGAGAAACTTAGAAATGACTATTCTACAGTTATTTTTAAAGCGCTTTTTAATTGTTGTAAAGAACGGAATTAGTCTTTTTTTTTTTGCAATTATGGTATCTTCAGTTATAGAAGGCAGCCGAGAATTCTTGGACTTTTCACTCATTTCCAGCCTGTTTGACCTAATCCTGGATTCTCATCGAAGGATCATTCTCATGAGAGGACAAATATGGGTCTGTAGCTGCCATTCCTTGAACTTGATGGAGCTACATGTCAATTAAAACACCATGATGAAGACGATGGTGGAATGATTCCACCGAACCAACTAATTCGTGATTCTTCGCGGTTTCCCAACTGTTTTCGAATGGTGTTGTGACGAAATTGAAATCTTCCCTTGATTCCCATCATTTTCTGTTGTCTACGGCAACCATCCAGATGAATCGAAAGTTTTAGACATCATTCGGTAGATGTCATTGCTTTCATAGCGCTAGAATCTGGCTCATTTTAGCACTTGTGACAAAATGGGTCATTCCTTGCTTTTGGAACCAAGCTAGGGTCCACAATTGAATGCCTAAAGGCTCATTTCACGATAATTTTTAATTTTGAGGTACCCTTTTTTGGTTGAAAAACGGATGTATTGATGTAGAGGAGTACACCGGTGGCGAAGAAAGCGAGAAATCCGCCTACTTCAGTAGTGGAAGTGGAGGTTGTCGAGATCACCGTGACAGGAATGGCATGTGAGGGGTGTTTGGACGAGATTCAACCTGCTCCCATCGTGCAAAGAGCTGACCACATCAAACCATAACCGTCCAGAATTGCCTTTCACTGTCGCTATGGGTCATGACAAGTTGTTTGAACTTCCCATAATGGTTCTGTTATGAATGGTGCAGCTTTTACAAAGCCGTCGAAACTCGTTCACTAGGGGTGTGGCATTCACACGACACAATTTCTGGTTCGTTATTGTGCCTTATAACGGCATGGATGGTATAAATGGAGCCTCGAGTTCATACTGTAGGAAAAAAAACCATTTTTGTCGCGAACTGTGCATTCAAGCTGCTTCTTTATGAGGACAGCGCAGTGCCGCATGTCTGATTGAATAAGCATATGACAAAGGACATAAAGGCTCTTTTCAATACAATTGGTTAGTACTTGCCAGTAGAAGTTGTTCACTGCTTACTGAGTTGCTAAGAGCTGATTTTTTCCATATTGAAGCCAACTATTCAGATTGTAGCTCGATGTGGTTTGTGTTTTGAACTCTCACGAAGTTGTTTTCTGATTGTACTTCGAGAAATACCTCAGTCCCTTACTCTAAATGTCTCTGTTCTTTCCCCATCATTTATGGGTGGTAATGACGGCTGTTACCCATCAACGGAAAGCCAATCAGTCACTTATCACCATGGTGGATAAAATAGCTCTAGTAATCTAATGTACAAGGCAAGGTGGTGGAGTTATCGGTAGTGATCCAGGGGATCATCTTCCGGGTGGGCTTACGGTAGAGCACAGTGGAATACTGGACAGTGCTGATCAGTGTTTGATAAACTTTTGATTTCATCGTGTTCTTTTCAGTAAAATGTCAACTGTAGAAGTTTGGCAAGATTAAGAAGCGTACAAGCTAAGAGTCTGCCTATTGATGCTCCAAAAAAATTCCGTGGAAGTACAACTGATACCTCTGACCAATCATTTTCTCTTCTTTTTTTCCACGCTCCAACAACTTCCTGAACGAATCACTGGCCCTGTAGATTTTTTTCACTCTACTTCTGAGAGAAGCGAATGTAATAATGAAGTTTCTTAAAATATAACTACTCAACATATTTCTCCCCACAGCAGGACGAAAGTGCTTTGTAAGTGCTCATGTAAGTGCTCCAAACACTATCTAGCTCCCAAACACCCCCAAACGTTTTAACAACAAAGTTTGCAGGGTTCAAGAAGGTGAAATAACAAGCGCTCCCAGTCAAAAGTTGACCTTCTCATTAGGATTAATTTCGAAAACAGAGAATAAAGTCTCGAAAGGAATCTGAAGGGCAACCTAATTAATGTAAATGACCTTAATTAAAAACAGCATGCTCAGTTGGGAACTGCCTTGTTCGCTAATTTTTTAAAACACCTGCGGTTGCTTCTAGAAGTGCTCTAGTGGTCAGGTGTGTGTTAACCACACACCATGCGCGTAGGAATGGGCCGCGTTCCGCCCTAATTGAGACTTCAACCCTTCTGTGATCAATGAAATGAAATTCATCTTGTTCACGAATATGTAAGGCACAAAAAATGCTTGATGTCAGCTAGACAAAATGACCTCTGAACCAACCTGCCGAAGGCCCTTCTTGGGCCATCGTATGTGTGGCGGGTGGATTGGAGACGTCGTAGACATATATGACACGTGTGGTGGACTAGCCTCACAGATGCGCGGTTGGCACGATACTACAGAGCACTACCGTTAGTGGGAATAAATCGACTCGAGTCTACAGGGCAAGAAATAACATCCCATGTAGGCTGGTGATGAAATGCCACTTTGTGATAAGGGTGGCCATCCACTATTACCCTTACACATAAAAAATGAAATTACTGCCGGTCAGGGTTTTTCATGTAACTTCTAAACGAATGTGTGACCAGTTTGTAACTTTTTAACGAATGTGTGTTTATAGTGCGCAGTGAGTCTGGTTTTTCTTAAAGGCTTTTTGTGAACAATCTTTTTGCTCATATCGAAACCTACGGATCTTTGGTTGTTGTCTTAATCAACACAAGCAAATAGCATTCCCTGACCTTAGCGACCTCTGGCTAGGCTTTATCCGAGGGAGAAAGACGCTCTCCCACCGCTTTTTCGAAGCTTTACGTTGAAATTCGAACTCTATGTACAACTTTTTTTACGTAGAGTATTGAATTCCTCGACACTTCTTAATCCTTCACGCTCCAAACCGCCTTCACCACTCCTATGCTCCTATCCAGCGCCTATTTTTTGCAGTTCTTGTGAACAGTGTCTTCGTTTTCGATGCATTTAGGAGGTTATCTTCGAAGCCATATCGCGTACTTTTCATCTGTCCCTCATCTGTTCCTCTCCGACAACCTCCCAGAGATTTTAGAACAATGGAAAATTGAACTGACTACCGCTTCTCTAAGTTCCATCCCATGGACGTTGGGGTTGACGCAGTGGAAAGATCGAATCCTGCTACCGCATATTTTGAGCCTCCTACGCCATGTACATAGATGATTTTCATTTTTTCATGGAAGAAATACCAGAAGAAACTTAATCCTATGCTCATCACCATAAGTTTTTATAGTTGATTATGATTTTATTTGATTTTTATAACCACTTATTTTGCTAGGAATTCTTCGTGGCTCCAACTATTCTTGACGCTTGGTTTCCTTGTTAGTTTATGTGTTCAATTATATCTTATAGAACTTTTCTGTTGAAAGGAAAGAGGGGTTCGATGGGGAAGGATTTTCACTTTTGTACTCCTGCAGCGCAAGGAGTATGCTAGGGCGCTGGAGATGGTTAGGGTGAAACTTTTAACTGAGAACTTTTAAAACCGCTGCCTGCACCCAGTAACTACATACAGCCACCTTTTCATTGCAAAATATGTTTATTTCTCCTTCAAACTGTCCTTTTTCAATAAGGTCCATGCTTTGGTACACCTGAATCTATTTTGTAAATAATGTGCCAAATGCGGATGTTTATCTCCCACATCAAATCCGGAAGGCATCTGGACTTATCACTGATCATTTTGATCGTTATCCTACGACGATTTTCATTCATCAGGCGGTCCGTCGATGTTAACCGAGCGTTATCATTCACGTTGCTTTTTCCAAAGCAACCTTGTTGGTCTCTTCATAGATCATGCCCGTGGTCAGTGGTGCATGGGTTCAAACACTACTGACCGCTGCGTAATTCCTCCTTCAGACACAACGAGTGTGCTAGGTTTATCTTCGAGCCTTGAACCTCCTCTTTTTAACAGAAATTATGAAAAACGATTACTGGAGGGCGTGTCAAACAGCTCTCTGGATACGCTCACTGTAATGACTTCCGTTGCCGACTTACTTAGGATCGTTTGAATTCAAAGAAAGTGGCTTGAGGAGGATTAAATATCACGGGTACCCCACTCTTTCCTGATGTCTTCGAATTGATGATCGGCATAATCACTTTCACTGAAAGCTTTTCAACCATCAATCGTGTCACTTGTGATTGCTTTTAAGTTGATACGAACAATATCGTCTAACAGTGATGACGAATGAGATGGAAATCCCCATGCTTATCCAAGCTGTTAATGTCAGATCTAGGCATATGCTCACCAAAAACTTGGACCGAAAAATTATATCCTATGAGATTTGAGTAAATCGAGTTCAGGCGGTGATTGAGAACATGCTCGTTTGAAGGCACAATTCACGGTGATTTTGAGTACCCTTTTAGCAGAAAAGCAAAAGTGTTGGTTTTGAATAGTGCATCAGTGGTTAAGAAATCGAAAAAACTCGTCGATTTAGCGGAAAATACGGCTACTTAAAAGAATTGTTGGGGCGTTTTCCCACCTGGCAGCGTCACACATGGGTACGAGGGGTCACAGGTTTATACCACCGAGAAATCTCACAGGCCGCTTTTATCGTGAACTGTGCCTTTGGTTGATTACAATGGAGAAGAGTGACAGAGCAACTTCAATGCTTCGATCGAGCTCAATTAATTGATGTTTGCAAATCTGACTCACTCCGTAAACATTTGAGGGATAATCGAGACCCCGCTCCTACAATCAGCCTATAATTTCCGTTCTACTGACAAATAGATGGAGATCGTCTACGAGTAAATATATTTGATGAAATTAATGTCGAAGGAGTAAATAAATTTTTATTTTCAGCCACGTTTCCGTCGAATGTCGTTCACCCGACGTGGAAGTAATGAAGCAAGCGAGACAGACATAATGATCGAATTCGATGATGCTCCGCCGGCTGCTGTACCTTTTGTGAGTTGAGCACGTCGTTGAAAAACCTACTCACGCGCTCATGCGTAAACTTCTTCCTGCTTACTCAATTTACAACCTTTACTGAGATTTCACTTTATCTTACAATGAATATTAAGCATGGTAATATTTCGAAACGCATTTTTTTATTCGACTAATGTAATTCTGCTCCTGGTTTTTGGTGTGATGGGAAGGCACAGCGGATTAGTTGAGAGTGTAAACATACACTGTTCTCTTAAAGGCACAGTTGACGATAATTTTGGGTAGTCCAGATTACGATGAAAAATGGACGACAAGATCGAATATGGTGCGATGAAGGTGGAGAAACTGCGTGAATCGGTGTTTCCAAAATGAAAAAAGGCTCCGAAAACCCGTTAAACAGGGGGGGGGGGGGGGGGGGGGGGAGGGCTGGACGAGAATGAGTTCAGAAAAATGAAGAAGAGTGAGGCCTTTGAAGAGCTAAACAATGTGTCTCACTGTGTACGTGTGGGTCCTGGTGCGAATAAAAGACAATGGTAAGCGAAAATTCATCCACTTATAAGCATAAGTAGACAAAAGAACCCTAGTAACAGCAAAAAGGGCTCACCTTTTTCAGTCTCTAGGAGTAGGAAATTAAATAAGGGCAGCAAAAGGAATAACAGAGGAAAAAAGAATGGGAGAAAAACACTCGGCGACAGCTGATTGTATATGGGTCCTGGAACAAAAATTTGCAATCTGTATTGTCTCGACACTTGTCTGACCGTCTGACGTGACATCGACCGAGAGGCGGGAAGGCCATTGACTTCCCCGCACATTGAATTATCGTGAACTGTGCCTTTAAGGTACGCTTCAAGGGAGCAAAGGCCAAGAAATTGTAACCCGTCTCCCAATCCCCTCGGGTACGACTTCTTTATGAGCCTTGATGATGCCTTTAGACCGGTTCCGGAAGTGGACTATCACTTTCGGAACTGATCTGAAGGCATCATCAAGGCTCATATCTGACCATATGAATGGCCAGTGGCAGTGAACCAGGAGGTTCAGAGAGCGTCCACGGAGTTAAAGAAATAGGGATCAGAAAAGAAGAAAGAAAGTCGTCGAAATGGGCACAGCTCACCGACCGGCTTTATGAAGCCACTTCACCAGGAAGGGGAAAATTCAGAAGGTAAACTACAGCCGTAGGGATAAACTGACAGAAATCGATCATGAACGAATGTGCTGGAGAAGAATAGGCTTCGACTGTACGTGAAGAAGACCACAAGTTTTTAAGCTTGGTCTTCTTCACGGAGGAGGTGGTCTCAAGAAAGACATCATAATTAACTGGTATCCTGTGAAACCGAGAATACACAAAGGAAAAGTGTACCAATCAGTGGTGAGGCCCACGACGCTCTACGGCAGCGAGTCCTATGCGTTTGGAGGCGACTAGACCGGATCAGAAAGAAATATGTCCTTGTCGAGTTGAAAATGAGAGAGCAGCGAGCACGATGATTTGGAAACGTACTGAGAAGGTCAATGAAGACTCCAGTAAGGAAGATAGTTCAAGATTCAAAGAGAGCGGCCACGAGAGGCGTCAAAAAAGGGATACCGGAACGTGATCAAGAAGGGCTTTGCCGAAGTCAAAGTGACAGCAGAGGATGCCGTAGATAGAAGGAATATGAAACGGCTGACAACAATGGCGGACCCTGCGTCGGCGCGGGATTAACGCCAAGAAGTAGGAGATGACTCAAGAGTTCCAAAGGATATCAAAACCAACACTAGTACATGAACCATACCCGTCTTGCGGGCCGCGCTTACGGTCGTCGGAGCACTACTTTTGAGCATGAGCGATTGTGAAGTCGTACCTCGCATACTAGTTGTAGGCACGAAATAGAGCTCCAGATCAATTCATGTCCACACACCCAAGCTTCCCAGCCTTCGTGGGCAGTTGATTAGTACCAGGCCCACCTGAAAGATAAGAGTGCCGGCTTGGGGGCAGAGGCCCATAATTTGATCTCAAACTCCTCGCACGGAGCCTAAGTGGGAATACAAACTCTACAGTCCATCTCTCAATCGGAGACCATACGGACGAGTCAAGGGAGTTAAGATCTGTAGAGCAGGATCTGTAAAGCAGGAGTAGGATCAATGCTTCATTGCGTCCATCAGGACGCCCCTTTATACAGACCTTTGTTAGTTTTCACGTCGCACGAAAGCACGAGCGTCTTAGCCTTGCCAGCATCTCCCCCAAAGGACATCATTTTGCTGATCTTATAGCAACGTTTTCGGGAGAGATTGCACGTTCGATGTTGTTCATAGCCAGAACGTGTTCGTTTTGTTTGCTAAGGAATGGTGCTTTTCGTTAAAATTTTTTTTCGTTTGAGAGAACGAGTCAGGGGGTCAGGGCTGCGTGTCTCAAGTGAGTTAGCAACGTCCTGCATTTTTGGCCCTGCACTGTCTGTAGAGAACAAAATTGAAGGGGCATTTCTGCATTTGATAGTAACGGCCTTGGAGCTTCTGCTTGACAATCCGCTCCACGACAACAGCGATAAGTCCTGCTCCTTTGCCGAGAGGCACCCAGAATCACCGTCGACTTTCGAAGGGACCATTTTAATAGTCCTTTTTCAGAGACAGTGGCCTCACCACGACTTACTGGTTTGTCTTTGATTGAATCTTTTTCTCTTTATAGTTTCATAGCCTTCTGTGTGGATACTTTAAGGAACACACGAAATTTCACAATGCCCTTCCATCTCTCGCATGCTACTGATTGCAAGTGACATTGAAGGAGCCTTGGCCATCTAAAAGATGTAGGGAGCGAAGAGGGTCTGGGAACTTCTCCCTTGTCACGGCGTCGCAAACGCCGCACCCGCCGCGTATCGCAGGATTGCGATGGAAGTTTGGAGCGCGCAATTTGTGAAGTAGGGAGTCCTTTAATTATTTGAATTGGCTGACCGCTTCCTTCAAGTTCAATGCCGCCGCTTACATAAGAGGAGTCATTTTAATTAATCAACTCTAATAAACATGAAAACGAAAAAGAAACGGAAGAAAAAACGATCAAACTCAATAAAAAAGCAAGGCAATCAACGAAAAATTCCGCGTCCTATCGATTGGCGGGGAGGCAGGGTGAGCACGGTAATTGCAGTGACATTTGCCGCATGCCGCAAGGGAGAATGCCGCGATAGGGGAGAAGTTCCGTTACCCGAGCGAAGAAAGAGGCCTGGAGGCCCCACGAGCAATATGGTTTGCACCTCGTGTAGGGTCTTTCGATAGCTCATTCATTCGCCTTCCTTTCGCCGAAACTTCCCTTGCAACGTTCGCTTTTGCTCCGAACTCATTATACATCGAGCTCCGTTCGTTGCCAGTCCTTCCTGTCTTCAGCAATCATTAAAAATAAAATTGCATAATCGGTAAAGGAAGTAAAACGTATTTTCCATGATTGCATGGCGACGCAAATCCAGTGAAGACACATGACTGAAGACGCGAAAATGTCTATACAATGTCACATGTTCTCAATATCAGAGTGGGGAACCACTCAAATGGCCCAATTCCGATCCTAAGTTGGAGCGGAAACGTTGCGATTTCTAGAGATGTTCCCATTTGTGAGGGAGGTGTGAAAGCATTCTTTTTGGCACTCAATTCGGGCAATGGCCATCTACGGTAGTCTTATCTTTTTTAAGTACCGTTGTCTATCTTGGCTAAGCAGACAAAACCGGCTGAGGCACAAAAATTCCATGGAAATGCTTTGTATTCTGGTCACACTGAGCGACAATTAGTTTGAAAAGACTCAACGAGTCATTGGTCATTGCTAAGAAGATTAAAAATATCCATATGCATCGATGACGTTTAGATTTTCTTTCTCTTCTCTATAGCGTTTATCCGACGCAGTCGCAGGACCCGTTGTACTTGCTGACTGTCGCCACACCACCTCCTTCGATCTATGGCATTTTTTGGCGCCGCCCTCTGGCTTCGATGAGCTTCTTGATCCCGCTTCCTTTCTTTTCTGGCTCTTCGTGATTGCCTCCATTGAACTTCGGCATCCACTGCTTTTCATGTCGAGTGACCCTCGTGTTCTCTGCAGCACATGCCGTTACCATCGCAAGCGCTGGGGTTGTCTGCAAGATTGTCGTAATCTCCTCGTCCCTAGCTCTAGTAGCGATCATCTCGGCATTTTCATCTTTGAGGAGCGGAGTCGCCTCTCATGATCTCTGTCTTCCAGCTCTCGCTGCCTTATAGCATCGTGCCCCTGATTACGGTTTTGTTAGCCAGTCCTTTTATCTTCCTGGGACACCTTCAACCGCGGCGAATGCCATTGGACACCCTCAACTTCACCCATGTTTTGTTTGTTCGAGCCTTTACAGCTTGATCCCTCAGCGGCTTAGTTTCCCTCTGGGGAGTCTTGTCTCGGTGTCAGAAATGTGGACAAGGTCTCCCTAAGTGCTGAGCTTAGAGGGAGCATGAAATGGGAAGAAGTTTGCTCATATGTTAGTTCTCGCAAAGGGCGGAACTATTACGGTTTTGATTTATCACCCCAAGTGATCGTCGTATGAAGGGTGAATAGACCTTGCATGTTAATCAACGTTGTGCCTGTCAAAATTCTTTACAAAGTTATGAGATCAATCGTCGTTCGCCTACACGCAAGTGATTCTATACCGAGTATCTTGGTTCTGACAACTTACCTGGGAATACAGTTATAACTCAAGCCAAGAATTCGAATTAAAGCTTCATAGTAAGTTTTTTTGAACTTACTCCACCATAGGAATCGATTTTTTTCCTACACAGGTAAAAAAAAACCTTAAACTCTGCTCAAAAATGAGCGAATACATCATCTGTATGCTTCAGTGAGAATACGAGGATCTCCTGTGAACAGACCTCTGAAGAGCTGCGCTAGCAGCATTATGAACTGTCGATATGAGCGATGTGAACGACAATTTATTCTCATTGAGAAGTCCAAAATCTCTGGCAGCAATAAGATTTGTAATTTTACGTCCATCGGCATAATAATTAACAATACGACGAACCTCCACTAAGCTGAGAAATGAGGTCTTATTTGCAGACAGAACTTTCACGATTTCTATCGTTCAGCATCCTCTTTCAAGAGCTCTTCGAATCAAGACAGAACCGATCTCTGAAATTATATGTAGACTCACAGGTCTTCATATCTACAGCGAAGACCTTACACTTTACAGTACCCCTTTCCCGTGCGTTGATCTTGTTGGCAATAGAGACAGAGTCTAAGGGACTCTGACACAGCTATCCTATCACTCGAGTATATCCATCGAGTCCCTAATCAAATTGATTTCTTCAACAGGGATTGTTCGATCTACGGTAGCCCTCGCATAGACACAGACGGTAGACATGAGTCTACACTCTCTTATTTCCAGGGTATCTTTTAAACACGATAAAAGATACTGAAAAACTTAAGGCCTCAGAAAACTATTAAAATTAAGAGTAGGCTGAAAATGTGACGCCAAAAGTTGCGTGGAAGGGGTATTTGCAAGAGTGTCCAAATGTGTGTTCCATTGCGTACAGCGGGCTACAGTGGGCTGTGAACCGCACCTTGAACCACTCGGGTGTCTCTGGCTTGGACGTTTCTCGTGGAGTGGACGCAATTCCTTTTCTGTGGGAAAGGCGAAGGTTTATTAAGTTCCCTTGTAACTCATTATTAGCCATGTGCATATAGTAATTAATTGTTGAATATAAAGTGAACAACAACAACCCTTTGACGTAGAAGAAGAGCTCAATTAATGTCGTTTCCGACGCTTCTGAAAACATGATCTCTCAAATTCTCATTATCTTGTAAACCGTATTGCTTCCAACAGCACAATCTGAGTACCGAATCATTTCTATGTAGCTTCTATGTTAAAACCTATTCAAATGATGAAGCTGACCATTTGGTCGCTAGCCTTTTTGAGATCGGAATTGAGTGAAAAACCCCAAAATAAGATGCTCACCTCTACAGCGAACGGACCAACAGTATTAGGTGACTGTGTATTAGTTAGGTTGTCTTCTCCTCATGTCTCGTTCTTGGCAAGTATTCACTGCCACTCCCTCAAAAAGAAGACGCCCTTGTAGCCTGAAATGTGACTTCCTTCATTTTCGAGACCAATCAAAATGTCCAACTTTTTGTTGAAGAAGTGCATCTTGAGGAACTGTATTAGGTAGTTGTTGTAGCTGTATTAGGTTAATATGGTGTGTGGGGTACCGTTCCTCAGCTATTTCTCTAGGCACTGACATTTCTTGTAAATCCAGCAAATTTGCGTTTTTGTGAGTAGTGAAACCTTAGACGAAATTCAGGCATCTTCGCCCCCACACTCAGGCGAAGGTGGGTTGTGGCAAGTAGCACACTACTCCACTACCACACAAATGGATTGAAGCTCAAATTCGGATCGGTTTTCGTCCAGGACAACTAAACCGTGAATGTCGGCGGGCCTTAGTTGGTACCAAACTCGTCTAGGAATATAAAAGCACTGTTTTTTTTAATTACATCGGATGGCCAACGCGGGTCATTGTTTAGGCCACAAACGCATTCAATGCGCCACTACGATTCAGGATGGAAATCGAATGCATAGGCGCATTCCTCAGGCGAAATTGATCAATGTCCGAAGAATTTATCATTTATCCTGCTACCTTACCTATTCGTGACTAATACCCACCATATATTGCGCTAGGAATAGCTTACTCGACTTCTCCGTGTGGTTTCTAATGAAATGAAAGCCTTTGAATTCGTCATCGCAATTTGGAATCTTTAAAAGCAGGACTGACGAGTGTCTGCTAAGAAATGAACTAACTACCTGTATGAAACATGAGAGAGTATTAGAAGAGACTTCGAATTCATAATTTTGCCGATAAACGACTCTCTCAAATACCATTGACTCCTTGTGTCCATCAATGTGAGTAAATATGCATGTAGATTTCAGTGCCACTCTCGGCCTAACTGCAACGAACGAAGGATGAAGTTTTTCGACGTCGACCAGACCCTTTTAGGATCCATCCTTCATACACAATCGTAGTAGCGTATCGAATGTGAATGTATCCTATTCTGAACTGTGGTGGCCACCCAATGTACAAGTCAGCTCTTTTATCATCCCAAACGGGTCTGGTACCAGTTAACCGACTCCGGAGCGGTAGAAGGCTTGATCATGGCCAAGAATCGATACGGGATATGATCCAGGGACCAAATGAGGGATAACGCAGGCTCTTTGCCCACAAGCCACCTCTTCCGTACAGCGACGAATAGGCGCCCATATTTTCGAGGGACCCTGCACTCCCCGTCTTCCATTCTTCACATACGTCGTTTTTTGCTTCTCATCTTGATTTTCTTGTTTGGATCAGTGTGAAATGCACCATACATTCAGGTTTCTGTCCCACTTAATCAGATTATAAGTCAGTGCCATACCTTCCATTTGAGATTTGGTACCCCTGAGCCATCCCCGTCGGTGGTAGGACCACTTCTCAGATCTTTTACTTTGTGTTATATAGCATTTGCCTCTCGAACTGGAGTTTGATCGTTCTAGGGGACATTAGCTAATCAAGTTACCTTTTTGTCTTTCCTGATAATCGCCGTTGTAAGATAATTGGTTCGTCAAATTTGAAAATTTCATCTTGAAATATATAATACGTTTCTACGATGAGTAGTCTGTTCAACTGAAGTACGTCATCATACATAATGGGATGGCTCCGCCCTTCGGAGATGCCAATTATCGTCGTTGACGTATATGTTCACTGAAAAGTATCATTATCGTATGATTACTTCAGCTTTCAAAGCACATACTAAACTGAAATTGATTCAACATTTCTTTAAATTCTTATTATCACTCCTCCTAATGATAGTATTTTTCGTGTGGAACTCTGAAACAGAATTTTCACATTTTCCAAGTAGAAATCAGCTGCCTTCTCTTTGTTGACGTAGGGGGCTTCGATGGAATTATATTACAGCATCATAATTCTATGGCTGAGCTAGACGAAACCCCGTCCATCATAAGGAAACAGCAGAAAAAAGCTTGAATTAGGGCTTAGTCTAGGCCCATATAGCCGCAGGTGTACCTGCGGCGCCAAGGGCTCTCAAATTTTCGATTTCTTCCAAAGGACAGAAAATAGATAATTCTTTTCTCGATGCTTTTTTATTTTCTTTTAAATTTTTTGTGTCGTTTTCCTCCTTGTCTTCTGTCCCATTTTATTGATCGATTTTTTTTTCAGGCAAGCCGACGCCCGTTTATACTGAATCCGCCGCCAAGACGCCTATCGCGAGACAAAATCAGCAACCACTTGAAACGAATCCCTCCGAACGATTGTACTCGAGAAATGAATAGAGCTGGGTGAGAGTGTTTTGTTTTTCGAAATAAACCTATGCCTGGTCCAACTTCAACCATTTTCAGTCGTCCTCCGCCTCCTAATAAATGGGTTCAGCGAACAATATCGAATGATTCGCAATCATCGTTACCTTCACCATCATCATCGGCAGCATCACCTGTGGAGAACAAATCGATTTCTGTTGGCGATAAACTTCGATCAATATTCAGCAGCAGAAGGGTATTTGGTCTTCAATTCGATTGGATTTAAGAGGGTTAAAGTGAAAGTAGCGAACCGATCCACATCAACACGTCGGAGAGCGATTTATCGGGGAGTAGTACTCCGCAGTTTTTAAGCCCGCAACCACAAGCATGTGAGCAGTTACTGGAGCACCAAGGAGCTTATTCAATCCTCCCTGAACTTTAGAAAAAAGAAGTCAACAAAGTGGCCTCTTATTTGAAAGCACGGTTCACAATAATTCTGGGGTATCTAGTTTTAGACGGGTAATTGAAGTGATAGTCCAGATAAATGCANCCAAGGAGCTTATTCAATCCTCCCTGAACTTTAGAAAAAAGCAGTCAACAAAGTGTTCTCTTATTTAAAGGCACGGTTTACAATAATTCTGGGGTATCTAGTTTTAGACGGGTAATTGAAGTGATAGTCCAGATAAATGCAGTGGCGGAAAGGACGCAGAAATCGGCGTATTCAAGAAATATAAGGCTTTGAAAAAGAAGTAAAGGTATGGGTTGAACGAGGGTGTGACGAAAGAAGTCGCGTGGAAGGGGTATCTGGACGAGTTGTTTGAATGCGCGCGCCATTGAATGTAGATGGCTGCAGTAAGCTGTCTGTGTGCAAGATGAGGTCCCGCGGGTACGCTTCGTTTCGCGCGTCCGTCGAAACTAGGTCACGTCGCAGCCGTCGCACGCGAGTCTGCCCGCGATACTTGACAGACGTCGCAGTTGTCTGTGGGGTATACGATTTGCGCTCGGTCCACGCCAGCCAGCTTAAAGAAAAGTTAACACGGACTACTGCAAATCATTCGCTCTACTGACATTTACCCATTAGTGGTACTATAATGTCGTCTCGGTGTCGCAGTGGGCTGCGCCGCGTGCGAAGGGAGCGCGGTGACCTAGTATCAATGGACGCGCGGAGCGGACATTCCCTGGGTCACGGTGCAAATGATGCAACATCTACAGTTTTTACAACGCTCAAGCACTCGTCCGCATTGGGAGTCTACGTCGGCTAAGCCGGTTTGGGGAGTCTTTTTTACGCCCTATCTTCGTCTTTTCGACAGTCTTTGGGCGGAGGTGGTGTAGTGGCAAGTGGCGCAATACATCACACGCACGGTCAGGGGTTCGAATCCCGGATCGATGCCCGCCTAGGCCAACCAAGCCTTCCATCCCTCCGGGGTCGGTGAATTGGTACCAGACTCGTCTG